ATGGTGGCATGTCTGGCCTCATAGGAATAAGCCTTGGGCTGCTGATGGTGATTCTGTCTTCCTCTTGTGAAGTTAGAGGAGGTCAGAAGATGCTGCCTCCCTGTCCTTTTTGCAAGGGGGAGAAGAGAGATATCACATATCCTATTTGAATGTGTGAGTAAGCAGAGACATGGGCACCACTGATTGTTAGTTTAGGGCCTCAGGCTGGCCCCCCACCTAAGTTTAAGCTCACCATCCCATCTCCCTCCTTCCTTTCTCATAACAGGGACTAAGTCTGCTATTGTGGCTACTAAGGGCTGCACCGTTGGAAGGACAGCACAGATGATCTTTATGCAGCATACCCCACCCCCGGGCTTGATGGCAATCTCCTACAGTAGCTACTGCGAGGACTCCTTTTGCAACAACAAATACAGCATGTCTCCGTTTTGGATGCCAGAAGGGAACCCAGGTACCCTGGAAGGAGAGAGATGGATGTTAACAGAAACTTCATAAACAAATGAAGAGATCGCACATCTTCTTTTGTGTTCTTTCCTGGGTTAGGGCCAGTGGGCTACACACAAAGGGACCTCATAGACTGATTGCTTGTCTTTCTTTTTGGTGAACTGTTACTTAAGCAACTGGGGTCTAAACACTGCTCAGAGCAGAGGGACATCAGTGACAGCTAGGGTATAAACTGTGTTTTGTGTTTGATATGCAATAAGACGCCAGTGTAGGTTTCTGAGCAGGGTGGTGACAAGGTCAATCTAACAATTACTGGTTCCCCATTACTATGTGACGCTAGCTAAACTCCCTAATTTGAAATCAAGGCCTGTGGTAGTCTGTCCCCACAGCATTTCAGCTTCATTTCCCTTGTTCCTGCTCTTCTCTTTCATTCATTGTGTTCTCACTGGGGCTGATATTCAAAATACTTAACAATGGAGATGGTACTGGCCAATCAGAATGCATGCAGCCTATAAATTCCAATTCAGCCATACCTATGCCTGCCAACCGAACATCAACCCTGCAGCTGCTTACGTTCCCCAAATCCACCGAGCTTGTTCACACCTCCAGGCCTTTGCCCTTGTTGTTTCCTTTGCCCCACTCCCCATTTTCACATAGCTAACCCCTGCTCTTCCTCTTCAACTCAAGTATGCTTACCAAATTGAAAACACCTACCAAATTCCAGGTCCAGTCAGTTACTCCTCCATTCCTCTACCACTGAACTGTACTATAATTACTTACATGTCTTTCTCCTGCTAGACAGGGATCTTAGATGACAGGAAGTGTATCTTTTCATCTCTGTATCTCCTCACCTAAGCATAGAGTTTGGGAGCCTTGTTGGAAGCCCTGGGGTTCTTAAAACAAAAGAAATGAGTTGGAGAAGGGCAGAGAAGTTGCAGTAATGGGCCTTGACTAGAGCAGCGTAGGCAGGAAAGACTTGGGGAAGAGAAGGCAGCAAGGAGAGGCATCTCAAGAGACAGGACACACCCTTGACCATCCCTCTTTTTTCCCTTCCAGCTCCCAGTGTGTTAACAACCCTCTATTGCCCAACCTGTGTGGGTATAAGGACTTGTTTCAGTGCTCCTTCTCTTCCCTGTCCCAGTGGTACAACTCGATGCTATCAAGGCAGACTTCAGATCACTGGAGGTAAAGCGAACATGGGATAGTTTCCGAGGGTGGAAAACCAGACATCTGAGTGGGGAGGCCCTGATGTTCAGGGTTCCAGGGAGGAGAGAGGCCTGGGTTTCTGTTTGATGTCCTGAGACAACTCTTTGTCTCCCCCTTCTTCCTTGTTCCACAGGAGGCATCAACTCAATTGTGGAGGTCAAAGGTTGTACAGCCATCACTGGTTGCAGGCTGATGTCTGGGATCTCCACTGTTGGAGTCTTGGAGGTGAAGGAATTGTGTCCATACCAGTCTCTCACTCAAGTCCGAAAGCTTGAAAATGGGACCACCTGTCTTCCCATTTCAGCCTGGGGGTTAGGGCTCCTGCTGCTGTTAATGCTGCTGCTGCAACCACTTGTCCGTTGTTCGTGAGAAGGCGCTTCTGGTCCTGGGTCTTCCTTTTGACTGGGAGTCTTCTGACTGGTCGTCATCAATGAGTTGAGGAGCAGGCAGAGATTTGAGGGTGACTAGAGAGATCCTGTGGATGGATTTGACATTTCTAATAAAATTCCTACTGTGATTTGTGTATGCAGTGTACATGGGAGCCCCAAGACAATAAATAGAATTTTAGTTCTGAGAAGATGCTTAAAATTCGTTTTCTCCAAGCCACACATTTTTCAGAAAGTGAAACTGAGCTCTGGAAAACTTTAGCGAGTTTCTCACATGCACATGGCTATGGGCAGAGGCAAGACCAGAACTTAAATATTTTGACCTAGAATCTGGTTTTCCTTTTTCCTTTAATATGCTAACTTCTCTTGCTGGCTGGACAGAGATGTGTTTGCCTCCTCCAGAACACTCCCGGCCCGATCTTAAGGCTGAAGTCAGCTGTTTGGGGCTTCTAATATTTCCCTAGACGTATGGCAGAGCAAGAAAAGTCAGACTCCAACTTCTCTGATCATACCAGGCCCCGTCTCCTGTGCCCACTTGACATCACTTCCTTTCCTTCTCTGTTACTTGAGATGTTTTCAGTGGGCAGAGGGAACTTGGGAGGGGGCCAGAACTTAATAGATTATGATGACTGGGGGCCTGGAACTAATAGGGGGAAGATTTTGGTGGCGAGGTGGGGGGATTCTCATGCTTATTAATTTACTTACTTCTTATTCAAGAATACGTACATCTATCTTGTTGTAAGAGACTCAAATGATATAGAAGACATACAGAACAAAGTAAGTGTGGAGCGAGAGAGATGATACATTAAAAAAATGGACAGCTTTATTAAGGCTTGGTTGGTGTGTAGTAAATGCACTGGGTGGGAGGAACTTAATGAAGATATTATCCATCTCCTGCAAAGGACTGGATGAATTTGGCTGTAATATGACTTGAAAACCTGATGGAACACAACTCTACTGGGCACATACAAGTCACCCTGAGTCGGAATCAACTCAGCACAGCTGGTTTTGTTTGTTTGGTTGGTTGGTTGGTTTGGTTTTTCATTTTCGCTAAGTTCCTTCTGAAAAGTTTTCTGGCTCTGGCCAGCCCTCTGGGAGCCAATGCTCCGTTCCAGCTAATTCCTTCTCTTTGTCCTCAGGCCTCACATTGTGTCACTTTGTGGAATCTCCCTGAAGAGGGAGAGAAAGCACAAAGAAAATGAAATCTTCATTCAATGGTCTTGGAAAGAAGCATTCAAAGCCATGACTGTAAAACACTCTTTGGGGGACGGGGGAGAAAATGGTGTGTGTCTCACAGGACCCTAGCTTTCTAATGGTACTGAATAGAGTTGCTAGATTCTTCCAGTGAATGAAAGACGCACCTAATTGCAAGACACTGGTCTGTGACTTATATTGTTATTTTTTAAATTATGTCCATCACATGTCAAAGAATTTTATGCAACACATATAAATTTTTTCAGGCTACAAACAGGTATGCAAACAGAAGTATTTTAAAAAAACGAAAACAATTATTTTTATACATATAATAATTTTGTTTATAACTATACCCCGTTCTATGTAGTGGTAGGTAGAAACTTAAGCACTTTGAGTAAACTTAGTCACTTCAGGGCTTTCTTAGTCATATTAGGTTTAAAATCAGTCGAGTCAGGACTTTCCCTTTCCACTGTCATCATTCGGGACTTTTGCTATGGTGCTGGTGGAAAGGGCTGACTGGTCTCGTTTTTGTCTCCCATGATGTTCTCTGCTACTGATGTCCAAACTCTGTCCCTGGTGCTCATCTTCCCGCTGTCACCCCCTGAGAAACCTCCAACCCTGCCCAGGCATGGAGGGGCATCCACTCAGGCCCTCTGAGCTCTACCATTCCTTCCAAACCTCTTCCAACTGCTTTCGAGTCCCTTTCGGGCGCTTCAGTCCTAGGCATCTATGGGTGCCACAAATGGTTTGTGCTTGTCTACTGACCTAAAGGTTGGTGGTTCTAATGCCCCCTGCGGTGCCATGGAAGAAAGTCCTGGTGATCTGTTTCCATAAAGATTACAGCCAAGAAAACTCTATGGAGCACAGTTCAGCAATGGGTTTGGATTTGTTTGTTTGTTTGGCATCGTTATAGCTGACAAAAGTTCCCCAAGCTCTGGAGAAAAGGCAAATTCATAGGGACTTGCTTCCTTCCAGAGTAGTAGGTGGTGATGGGGCTCAGACTATGGGATTTATCATCCTCCTTTCCCTAGAGTTAACCCTGCCCAGGGACATAGACCAATATCACATATTCTCTTCAACTCCATTATTTCTTACGACAATCACAACATAAGTCCATTCTTTGAAAATCAAAAATTCCAGGTCCTTCAAATCAAAAGTTGGGCCCTTAGAACTATTGTCTCTGCCTCAATTTACATAGGAGCTCTGGTGGCGTAGTGCCTAAGACATTTGATTGCTAACCAGAAGGCTCTTTGATTGTCTAATGGGTCAAACCCACCAGCCACTCCTCGGAAGGAAGATTGGACAATCTACTTCTGTAGCGATACTGTCTCAGAAACCCAAGGAGGGGTTGCTATGAGCCGGGTCTGACTCCACGGCAGTGAGTTTGGTTTGGTTTTGGTCCTTTGAGACTTAGAGGTTGAACATGAACATGTTTCTGGTTCTTCGTATTTCTGTATTACTGCCTGGATGAGAGAAAGGGGTCAAAGGAAGTAATATAAGAACTGGGGGATGGGAAGACACCAGTAAGAGCAAAGTGCAATCCTGCCCCACATTTATTCCTTCCTCCATCTGGGTTCAGTCTGTCTCACCATGATATTCATTGCTATCTTCTAGTCCTTGTTCAAGGAGCTCTGGTAGCATAGTGCCTAAAGGCACTTGACTGCTAACCAGAAGCCTGGCAGTTCAAACTCACCAGCCACTCCTTGGAAGGAAGATGGGACAATCTACTTCCATAGTGATACTGCCTCAGAAACCCAAGGAGGGGTTGCTATGAGTCGGGTCTGACTCGACGGCACATAACAACAACAACAGTCCTTGTTCATGTTTCCCCCTCTCTGAAATTCCACCTCTCCTTTCACCTACCCATTCCATGAGGGCTCCCATAGGCATCTCACTAGCTACTCCAGGACACCTCTCCCAACTTTTCTGGCCCCCACTGATCTCCCTCAGCATAGCCCCAGCTGTTTCCCGTAGGTAGTATTGTAACAGCACACAGTAACAGGAAGCTAACAGATCCTCAGGGACAAGCCGTGTTTCCTACAGCTTTGCAACTTAACAGCACGCATAAAATGGAACCAGGAACCAGATGTTGTGGGGGCTCTGGAACTGCTTATTGAAGTGAGTCAAACTTACACTACACACACACGCAGAGAGAGAGACATACCTCTTCAACAACTAAATCTGACCACCACCAGTTGCAGCCAATTATCTTAACCTTGATGCAAATGCAGAAAAAAGTGGAAGCAGATCCTAGAGGGTAGAGAAGAGTAGAGGCTGAGGTTTAGGAAGAATGAAAACCAAACCCACTGCCATCAATCAAGTCATTCAAACAGAACAGGGGGACACTGCATGGTTTAAAATCAGGAACCGTGTGCATCAGGTTGCTTCCTTTCACCACATTTGTTCAGTCTGTATGCTGAACAAATAATCCAAGAAGCTGGATTATATAAAGAAGAATGGGATATCAGGATTGGAGGAAGATCATTGACAGCTGGTGATATGCAGTCTTGCTTGCTGAAAATGACGAAGACTTGAAGCACTTACTGATGAAGATCAAAGACTACAGCCTTCAGTATGGATTACACCTCAACACAAAGAAAACAAAAATGTAGCAAATGGACCAATAAGTAGCATCATGATAAAGAAAAGATTGAAATTGTCAAGGATTTAATTTTACTTGGATCCACAATTAACATGTATGGAAGCAGCAGTCAAGAAATCAAATGATGTATTTCATTGGGCAGATCTGCGAAAGAAAGGGTTAAGGAGCCAAGATGTGACTTTGAAGACTAAGGTTCACCTGACCCAAGCCATGGTATTTTCACTATTGAAAATGCACATGCATGTGAGAGATGGACAATGAATGAGGAAGACTGTAGAAGAACTGATGCATTTCTATTGTGGTTTTGATGAAGAATAGTGAATGTACCACAGACTGCTAGACTGAAACCAAATCAAACCCACTGCCATTGAGTCAATTCCAACTCATAGCGACACCCCATTGGGTTTCTAAGGCGGTAAATCTTTATAGAAGTAGACTGCTTCATTTTCCTTCAGCAAAGTGCTGGTGGGTTTGAACCACCAAACCACTAGCTAGCAGTCAAATGCCTGAGGCACTGCACCACCAGAGCTCCTTATGGACTGCTAGAAGAGTGGAGGAAGTACACCTGGGATGCTCCTTAGAAGGGAAAATGACCAGATTCCATCTCTCATACTTTGATCATGTTGTCAGAAGGGACCAGTCTCTGGAGAAGGATATCATGCTTGGTGAAGAGGATTGACAAAAGGAGAAGGCCCTCAATGAGATGGATTGACACAATGGCCGTGATGATGGCCTCCAGTGTGGTAACAATTGTGAGGATGATTCAGGACTGAGCGGTGTTTCATTCTGTTGTACATAGAGTCACCTGTTCTGGTTACCTAGTGCCACTGTGACAGGAATATACCACAAATGGGATGGCCTTAACAAACAGGAGTTTATTCTCTTACAGTTTGGAGGCTTTAAGTCCAAGTCAAAGTGCCAGGCTCTAGGGGCTGGGTGAAAGCCCCTCAACCATGGGGTCCAGCTCTGCCTCCTGCTCCCGGCCCACTGGAGCTAGAGGCATTTCTTCACTCAGACAGCTGCTGGCTGCTGAGGCTGAGAAGCCCAGGTTGACAAGTAAAAAGGCACAGTCCCAATGTTACTAAACCACATGGCAGGCCATTAATTTAAGTCCATTATAAGTCCCAAGGTTGGCAGAGCATGCCAGGCTACTGAACAACAACACGGCTACATGCGAGGTCCAAGTG